TGATTTCGATTGGTCGGGAAGAGATGGTGTCGATACGTATCCACCATTTATGAATTGTGAAATAGCATGGCCAACAGGAGCCGCGTGTGGCGAGCCGCTTCGAGTTGCCCATGATGCGTATTGGATTGTTTCGATAGCTGCCCGATTGACATAAGGCGAAACTTTAAATTTACCGCGTAATCTATTACGTTTTATTCCTGATAAATAAAAAGTTATTTATTTTCTAAAATGACGTACCCACAGGAACAATACCTCGCTAACAAAGAACCCGTTAAGGCAGCACACAAGCAGCACAAAGGCAACGTTCGCTTGGAATATCAAAAGAGCTACAACAAAAAAAAATAAAGACCTCGCAAACGAAAGCCAAAAACCGAATTTATTGATGAGCTTCTACCCATATCTCACTAACACTCATGTATTCAATAAGTCTGTCGCAATCAACCGCAAGGCAGATATTCGAAAGAAAGTGATTTCGAAAGTTCGGTCTATGGAGTTGGCTGACAAGCTGAACTATACCAGCTCTGAATATAAGCCTAAGGCGATCACTGATTCAAAATTTATGTCTACATGCTCTCGGAAATATCGAAGCTCTTATTTTAAGGTTATTCGCGAAAACAAGCATGTAATTAACTTCTTAATACTCCTACTGGTCTAAACTATGGTTCTTAATCCTGATGGGTATGAGACTTTTGTACGGAATTGCATCACGATGCAAGGTACAAAGAAGGGGTTCAAATTATCAGAAAAACAAGTCTATTATCACTTATACTCAAGACAACACAGCGCTCGACAATTACTATGTCGAACGTCGAGTACTTGATGATGGTATCACGACTGAACTACTTGATATTTATGCAGGTAACCTGTGGAAATATTTTTTAATAGATCATGGACAAGCAACTCTACAATGACCCCAGAACAGATTTTATCAGAGCTCAAGCTAAGCCAAGGATTTAAACCCTAATTTTAGTTTTCGAATAATAGAGGATTGTTATGGTAATCAGACCAATATTCAATAATTTCAGGATCAAAAGAAGATATTTAATGGTTTCAAAATATCTTTGAACTCGTGGTATATTGATTTTG